GAGCCAGCGCTGCTCCTCTGTCACCCTGGCGTCTGGGCTGTGGTTCCGACCCATTCACGCTGGGTTTGAACTGAAGACCTCACTGGCAGAAGACAAACAAATAGATGCTGTTTTCTTCAAGGAGTGTTGTGAATAAAGCTTCTTACTCAATGTTTCTCAGTAATAGTAATAGAGATTTTCAGTGATAGAAGGAAAGTTTTTCTTCCGCCAATTACTTTTCCCTGCAGCCTGAATAGAGATATAGATCTGATTTCCTAAGCCCAATATACCATTTGGGTTTGCTTTCAATAAAGTATCTATCCAGCGTCTCTAACCGTGATCCCTGTTTAATGGGATTTAGTTGTGAAGCTTAATTCATATCAGATTTTCTAAATGAGAGATCACTGTCAACTTATTGTTAATTGAATTAAATAAAATCAAGGTTTCTATAATTAATGTGAACCACTTAATCTTTTAGCTCCTTGAATGAATGTAATTTTCTCAAAACAGGTATCTTCTCATTTAATGAAATAGCAACCTTTTGAGGTAAATAAATGTAAACATGACTTCTTTTTCTAATGACTAATAATATCACAAGTCCTTTAAAAAACATAATAAAAATATAACTTATAAAATATTATCAAACTTACCCAAAATGTTGATACTATATTGTTCAGAATGTAAGTCTAAATTAACTGCAGCAATGGCTAAGGAGTGGCATGCTATAGTGGAAAGAGAAATGGTTTCAGTGTCGGCGGACATGGCTCATAGGTCTACCTGTGCCTTTAACCACCTGGGCGACCCTGGGGAAACCGCCAACCTTTCTGAGCCTTCTGTGTATCTGCAGGATGAGTGCGTTGTGCTAGATGAAATGATTCAAGTTTCTTTCTCTATTAAGAGTTCTGTGATTCTGTATACTGTAACAAGGTATCAGAAACTTTTATCTTAATTTTTTTATTTCGGAGAATTTACAATATTCACAAAAGCATACAGAATGATACAGAAATGGTAAAATGCCCGTGGACTCATCGAGCAGCTTCCACAGTCGCCGCTCAGTGGCCAGCCCCGCGTCTCCCGCATCTCTGTCCTCTGACCCTCCTTTCTTGTTGCTGCGGAGCAAATCCCAGACCACAGACACTATTTGTCGACGTAATCACTCTGCCATCGGTTTTGTTAGCACCTGAGGTCTTAGAAATGTTATTTTGTTTATGAAAGGCCTCAAATTGCTTCACTATTTCTTTCTTTTTCATTTTCAATTGAAAATGTTGAGATAACTGTAGATTCCTGTGCCTTAAGAAGTGGTCTGAAAGATCCCGTGTACTCTTTACCCAATTTCTCCCAAAGGCAACATCTTGAAAAACTGTAGGTGATATCACAATCAGGATATTGTCACCGATAAAATCCACTGATATGATTTAGATTTCGCCAGTTTTACTTATACCCATTTGTGTTCGTGTGCATTGGGTTCTGTGTAGTTTTGTCACGCGTGTAGGCTCCGACGTCCACCCTGGCAGTCAAGATGCACAACAGCTGCATCACCACAAGGATTCCTCACGTTGCCCTTGTGTAGCAATGCCCCCCTCTCCTCCGCATCATCCACCCCAACATTAGCCTCCCCTGTTCTTCATTTCTAAAATTGTATCATTTCAAAAATGTTCCATAAATGGAACCATACAGTCTGTAACCTTTTGTTCTGTTTTATTTCAAGAGGATTTATTTTATTTTTCAGTTGTAGTTGATGTACAATATTATATTAGTTTCAGGTGTGCAACATAATGATTAGACATTTATATATTTTAGAAAGTGATCACTATTGGATATTTTTGGAAATGGAAGCGGAAAATATGTAAAAGTCTATGATTTCCAAATTTCATGATTTCAAGGGATGATATCTGCATGGGTATCCTAAAGCTGAACACAAATGATGGAAAGAGCTTAGCAGACACAGGCCAAGGATTCAGATTCATTTAATATGAATTAAGTATGCTGTCTTTGCACATCTTGGCTTCCCAGAGCAAGGGACCAGGTGACACAACAGCACCCCTGAGAGAGGACTAGTTCTCCAGCCTTCAAATCCCACAAAAGGACTCGGCTGTCAGTGAGAACAGTGACTGGAGGGAGACTACTAACAGGCTCTTCAAGAAGCTTCTTCCGTCACTTCTCTCTTAGTCCTTGGGCCTCCCAACTCTTCCAGAGAAGGTAGATCTATGTCTGATTGGACACATGGTGTCAACCTCAGCACATGCCTGAGTGCCTAATTTGAGTCTGGGTGAAGGTCATTCTTTCCAGGAATTTTGTCTTCCCTAGTAGAACTCAGTCTTAGGCAGTGTATTTCTGTAGTTTTCTGTAGAAATTAAGGAGCCAATTCAGTATTTATTTAAGAATTAGATGGTGATGGTCTAAGAAAAGAAATAGCTCAATAGAAGAGAATTGGGAATAAATATACACAAAGGTCTAATTTATGGTAAAGGTACATTAAAAATCAATCAGAAAAAGGCACTATTAGAAATCATCTGGGAAAAATTCCTACCTCACACTGTACACAAAAACAAAACTTAAATGGATCAATGGCCTAAATGTGAATTTAAAAATATGTGCATGTGTGTATGTGTGTGTAGAATAAAGGAGTTTAACAGTTTTATTATTTTTAGGGAGGAGACGGGACATAGCAGGGTGAAGACAGGTAACTCAGAAGCTGCAAACAGAAAATGTACATTTTAACTATATAAAAGTATTTCTACACATGCTCACACATATACATATCACATATTCTTGCACATCTCTGTTTTTCCTATGATGATAGACATATAGATATATCTAATAATAAGTTATTATATCTAATATACAAAGAATTTATATAAAACAATAAAAATACAAACTATCAGAAAATAAGCAAAGGATAAGAACAGGCAAGTCACAGAACAATACAAATTAGCAATAAATAGATGAATAGATGTTCACTAGTAATCAAGAAACTAGAAATTAAAGCAATGACATTTAAAAATTTGTCAAATAGGCAAAAACTTAAAACACAAATAACATTCAGTATTTATGGGATATGGGAAAGAGTGTTCTCATACATTTTTCCTGGGAATACATTTTGCTGAGGACAGGTTGGCACTATCAAAATTTTAAAGTGCACATGCCCTTTTGTACAGTAATACCTCCTTCAGGAATCTACACCATGGAAAACAGGTGTAATAGAGGATGCATGTGCTAAGATATCCATCACAGCATACGCTGTAGTAGCAGAAAATTACAATCAGCCTGAAATACCTAGTAATATAGAACTGTTAAAAAAACAAACCATGGTGTAGTCATAGAGTGGGATACGATGAAACCATTAGAAGAAGGAGCGAAATCTAGAGCGCCAACATGGCAGCACATGGGAGGATGGCCAGAAGTGAAAAATCAAACCAAGACATATGTTTACACAGCATAATTCAGCTGGGGGTGGGCAGGTGGGTGGGTGATGTGTATATGTATGTGTAGGCATTTGTAGACCAAGGCATTTTTTTAAAGTCTTAAAAAAATAAAACAGACTGCTAAAAATGATTACATATCTGTGCTATAGAAGTGCTGGGTTGAGGGGATTTTTACTTTTCATTTTATGTACTTACACATTTCTTGCAATTATTTTTATCACAATGATGTAATGTTTTATAATGTTAAGAAGGAAAAGAAATTATAAATGCTGAACAATACAATCATTGACCAAAAAGAAAGAATTTGGTTAAAAGAATTGTTTTAAAAGAAGGTATTGATAACTATGCCTAATGCAAATTTAAATAAACAAAGAAAAGCCTCTTTCCTGCTACTGTATTAATTTTCTGTGTCTGGAATATTTATTTCAGTGATTTCTCTCTGGTTGTTAATTCACCGTGTTTAACTGATAGTGTTTATGGGAGTTTAGTGAAAACTATTTTGTTAACTATCTTCCGTTGTGATTTATCTCCCCCAGTGAATTGACGGTGAGTGGGGAATTAGTAAAGCAGATACAGATCTGGAGAGCCGTCTTTGGCTTTACTTATCTCCACAAGAATCCTCATTTCATAGTGATAAAGTTTGAAATCTTTTCTGTAGCTCTTTCCAATTGTTTATTGTTGTTGTTACTGCTGTAATGAGAGGTAGAAATGAGCCCAACCAACCTGCTCTTTCCTCCTTCTAAATTAATTTCAAAGGAAATTCTCTAATCCAAATAAATAAGCGAATGTGGGTGGAATGAGATTCTGACTCAACATGTCCATTTAATTGCTTCTAAACAGTAAGATACATTCTTAAGAAACCTTCACGTATGATTAAGAAAATCAACCAGTAAAGAATGATTAGGTGAGACATGGACTGCCTATAACCATCTTTGCTCACAAAACCCTATTTTAGTTGACATTAATATTTGTCTTCTACTCTATTATTATAAATCAAGATTTGTTATAGAAATATACCAACGACAACACAATAATAAAATAGATTCAGTTCAGGTTTTGAAATGTACCTAACAAACTCAACCTCTTGCAAAATAACTTTCTTATTCAAAATGGAATTGGGAATTGTTCAGCACACAATGAATCATCTTTTGGCAAGTACAATAGAATCTTTAGGGACATTTCACAGCCTCTTGTTCAATTGTTAGGATGTTTTTAGCTTTCACAGGTAGGAAAGAAGGAGCTTGTATGGCCATCATCTTGTTGCTAAAATTGAACAGTAAAGATTTTTCAGAGTTGCTGTTGTAATACATCTTTTTCCTTTTTTTTTTTCCTTTATGTTTCTTTCCTCAGAGCTGCTTTGTCTCTAAAAAACAATCTGGAATTACTTAATGCTAATGTTTTCTGGTTTTACTGTTTATCCAGGACTCGAATGGTAAACATTAATGTGGGAAACTCCCTTTTCCTTACCTCATAGTTCTATATTTATTTAACTGCTATTCTGTGAGAAGAAAGAGGTATCTTTCTCTCTCCATGTTAGTGAACTTCTTCTTTTATTTTAATTGACAAACATTTTGATTTTGCTTTTGTTTTTTTCAGGAGGCTTTCGAGTTACCCCTGGATGATTCTGAAGTGACTGAGGCTGCAGCAGCAACCGAAGTGATTAAATATGAGTATCATGTATTATATTCCTGCAGCTACCAAGTGCCAGTGCTTTACTTTAGGGCAAGCTTTTTAGGTAAGACCATGTTGGAAGCTAAATGTAAATTCATGACATTTACATATTAAGGCAGAAAGCAGATTTGGAAATTATTCCTGAGAGAAAAAAATAGAGTTAAAAATAAGAAAACTGTGGGTGAGGTAAGGTTTTACCAGTAAATTTTCTCATGCTTTAGAGAGAGTATTAAGACTTCAGAGTGAATGATATCATCCCAGCCATAAGTCTGAGCTTCAGATTCTTGGCCTCCTGCCCAACGTTGACTAAGCCCCCTGGCCCTTTTTTCTTTACTTTAAACAAGTAGGAACAACTTAAAGCTACAATGTTTATTTATTTCTAACTTTACAGTAAAAATTCCTTTCAATCTGAAGTGATCCCATTAACACAAAGCCCCCATGCCTTTTTCCCTAAATGCTAATAATTACTTCAAGAACCACTTATCAATCAGTTTAAGCTATACTTAAATACAGCACTAATATTTCCTTTGGCCATCTATACATCTCCAGTGCCTCTGCTCCCTGCAATGCTGTTATTCAACTCATTTCCCTTGCCAAGAAGGTGGAACGCCCTGTCTCCTCTGAGGCCTTTGCTAATAAAACTTATTTAATCAGCAACCACGTCCAGCGCTCACCCTGCAGTGTAGCCATGACTTTTCCCTTCGTGCCCTCCAAGTAAACCAGGTCAGCATTTCCAGGCCCTGCTGTCCCTGGGCTCAGGGACAAGGGGAGTCACCTCTGTAGCCCACCCCTACTCTAGTATCTCTCCTTTTCTATCCGGCCTTATCAACGGCATTTTGCATTTTGAATAGACTTCTAACTTTTTCTTGGTAGCTAAGACATCTGAATTTAGCCAGTGATATTTTATTTTTAATTAAAAAGTAGCTTAAGCTGCTTTGAATGTGTATTTGGTAGATTTAATCACTTGCTGCCTTATATTGTTTAATGGTCTCTAATTTTGCAGTGTTGGCGGTTTAACAAAGCACTTAGGATTTAAAACACAAGAACAAATTCTCATAGGCTCCCTGGTGAGAAGATTTTAATCTGAGGTGCAGTTCCTAAGAACTGACAATTTGGGGTAAATTTTCAACATGGGACGTGGGGAATTGAAGACACTGAGAGTTCACCGATCACAAATCCTTGCTGCAGATTTATCCATATGATTATGACAGGACTTTAAACACTTGTTTTTCACAATTCTGTTTGGTTTGAGCCCAGAGGTTAAAGCAGGTTTCTTGTCAGTGAGCTGTGTTATATGCTACAAAGTAGAAGGAGGTACATTATTTACCAGGGTGTGGAAGAAAATACCTTTCTTGGTTTTGGTTTGCAATGGCTCTTACCTAGAACCTTCCAGATTCTAAGACAAGTCGAGGTTGCAGGTAGAGGAAATAGGGCACTACTTCTTCAATACTGTACTTTCATATAATTAGTATTCACCATAAGCAGTTAATCACCAGAGAAGAGCTCCCAGAGACAAAACAAGTTGTTTAGCTTGTCAGCATTAGGGAATTGGAGGTGCTGAAACATGACTGCTTCTCGCTGGAAGTGGGTCTTGCCGCGGCTGCTGGATGAGCTCACACGTGTGCTCTGCTCCTGCGTGCCAACAGCTCCCCTTACAGTGCAGCCCGGTAATTGTTCCTGCAAGTCCAATTACATTTTAATGAAATTTGTATACTTCCTAAGATCTCTTCTTCATGATGGTTTTCTGTTTCTCAAAAAAAAAAACAAACAAAACAAACAACTAGCATCCTTGGATTCTATTTATATACTTTTCAAAGATTCCCTTTATCATGCTTCGCAAAGGAAACCAAACAAGTCATTGATTTTGTGTGCAAGCATTCCTCCTCCTTCCCCCTCCCCATTCAGGATCGTATAGAATGAGCATGAGAAATTTTTTAATTCCAGAGTTCATTTAGTGCTTGTTCAGACACATTAAAATATCAAGTTTAATCTTTCTAGAGCACACTGAATGCTTTTTGGGGGAGAAATATGAAAAACAATTCTTTCCTTTATCATATTCTAATTTTTTTCCACCTAACTTAATAGGTGTTCTAAAAATGCATCACTCTTTACTCTGGAGTCATAATTTTTCATTTTTTCTTCTTAATCCATTCCCTTTTCCTGTGACATCTGATTTCTCTGTTTCTCCATCTGTTTGTTAAACAAATCTCTATCAGTGTGGTGCATGGATTCCTAACATCTTCCTGTTATTCCAGGTCCAGATTTTTCTTTGTCTCATTCTATGAGTTCGACCTAGAAAGGAGGATGACTATAAAATTTCTCGCCCAGGGGTCTTTTATTGTTGCTTCAAAAACAGTTCAGTTAGCCTTGTTTCTGACAGATATTTAGAATTTCTTTTGCATTTGATTGCTAGTAAAAATTAGTTTCTCTGACTTGCTCTGAATTTTCTTTCAATACCTCTTTTTTGTTTTGGAAAAGCAAGTAGTAAATATTCTCATTTAAATTTACATTACTTTAAAAAAAATCAACTGGCTTATATTCCAGTAGAAATCTCCATTCTGTTTCTTGAAATGCAAACCCATTGTACTGTAATTACTCTTTATTCCTTTATATTGTTGTGTCCACCAGGCCAACTATTACCCAAGACTCAGCCGACATGCCACTTGCTTTTGTCACTCCCATGTGATTTTGTATCATATATCATATCACATATCATATCACATATGTATCATATATCATATCACACATACCATACCATATATCACATCACAAGTTGCACTGTAACTGAATTATTTGTTCACCTGTTCCCTATAAAATGGTAAGCTAGAAGTTAGGGCTTTAAGTTAAAAGGAGAGAAGAAGGAAATTAATATGAGTACTTACAACCTCCAAAGCGATCAGCTTTGTTCATGGCTGTATGTGTGTATTGTTTGTCTTACCCATTTTGATATCCATAGTTTCCATTGTGGTATAGCATCAACAGGTATTTATTGAATGAACCACTGAGGAGTTTCTAACCCTTTCTGAATACATTCGGCCCCAGATGGAAACATGTGATGGCGTCCTCTTTTGAACTGCTCCGACAGGTTGTATGGAAGGAAGGAATGCTGTTGTCTCCAGGAGATGTGGAACCCAAACCATCTGAATATCTTTCTTTACTCTTTGGTCAGGTGCTTCTCAGAGACTGTAGGATTAGTTGTCTAGGGAGGATAGAAAGTCTTGAAGACTCAAAGGTGGGCATCTAAACCAACAGAGCAGCTCCCTACTTATATAAACACGTTTTCATTGGATCTTTTAAGGCAGACAGCCTTCTGGGTGCCTCTCATTTCTAGTTCTTGAGCTTATAGGAGCTCAGGTTCATAGGGGGTAACATGGATTTAAGGGAAGACATGCATCCTTTCTGTTGTTCCTTTCCCCTTGACTATTCTTGCCATTGTGGGTTTGGGAGAGGTGCTAGGACATGGTTAATGCCCTTTGCTCCCCAGCAGTGGATTGTACTTCTGTCAAGTAATAATAAATAGCCTATATTTGAATAGTGCTTTATAGTTTATGAAGTCCATTTTCACAAAGCATTGATGTCAAGCACCCACTGTTTTTTTCTCTCCTATTTTTTAAATACACTGTGTTAAAGAATTATTTGTACCATGCCAGAAGCTTCTATCTACACCCCATCACCCTCTCCCCTTTTAAAGTACCATCTTCCCCTTTGGGGACTTGGCTTTGGTCAAATGCTGGTGGGAAACAGAGATGTGGTAAATATCTCAGTGGCTTTGGCTCACCGCAGTCCTAAGCTTATATATTTTTCCCTTTCACTGATATAACTAGAGATTTCTATATTTCAGCTTGAATTCTGATTTATTTCTCCTCTGTTCCTCTTCCTTTGTTCTCAATCTCTATTGAAAAATAGACCAAGTGGTTCTTCTCATTTTCAAAATATTTAATTCTTTGGCTGACATATGTGGGTTCTTCTTGGGAACCATTTTGACATATTTCTTTAATTAGTCAGATGGGCCGCTTTTGAATAAGGAAGGAAGCATTTCTTCCATTCAGCCACTGAATGTCTGTTCTTTCTGCAGATCCATTCTATTATTGGCCCAGAGACTAAGGGGACAGAATTGAAAAATGTAACCCAGATATTTTACATGGAAGGTTTGTCCTCTTGTTATATGCCTGAAGGTTGCTCAAGGACAAATAGGGCAAAAGAAATAGCCAAGAATAATTTCTTCTCAAAGGCAGCATGAACCTAACCAAGAGAAAGGCCAGCATGAAGGACAAAGAATGGAAAGTTTGGGACTAACAGTGTATGAATCATCGAGGAGGAGGAAGAGGTTTGTCCGTGCTCTGGAACAAGAGGAAGCCTTTGGAGTACAAAGCAGAGAAAGACAGAAACATGGGAATGGTGGGGTTTGGAGGGAATTAGAGAAGAAAAGTAAAATATCTGTAGCTCAGTCCAGCAGTCTGCAAGGGAAGGTAGCAGGTTGGCTTTTCAAAAGAGGCTAAGAAAAGCATTGGCAAAGGGAAGGAGGGCAAGTGTCCTGCAGGCTGGAGAGAACATGGCATATTGGGGGAACAGAGACAGACCAGTTTGGAGTAGTGTTTTCTTAAGATGAATTGTGGAAGAAACGGTTGAAAAGATATTTGAGATCGAATTATGGAAGAGACATGGATGGGGAGGAGTTGGAGGATATGAAGAAAAAGAAAGAGATTGAGCCGAAGTGAGTGGGACTAGAGAAGGGATTTCCTAGAGCAGAAATTATGACTGAAGAAAACAGAGGAATAAATCAAAGATGATAAGAAATACGGAGAATGAAATTTAAGTAAAAGGAACTTGGTTCTTTTTGTATTATTGTTAGCATTGTTAAAATAAAAACCTCAAGAAAAATGAGCTGGGAAGAACACATTTTCAGGGAGAAATTATTATGGCCAGTGGAGCGAGAGTTAAAGCAGCTTGTTGAACAAGGAAAAAAAGTGGATTAGAGAAGTACTTAAAGACTGAGGCAAAAATGATCTAGTTAATTATTACAATGAGCAGAAAATAAAAAATGGCTTGATAGATTATTTAATT